CGGGTGTGACCGGTCGGCAGGGGATGCTCACTCCTCCATGGCACCTGATCCCACCTCTGATGTTTCGGGGGTCCGTGTTCGCTCTGCTCTTATTTCGTATTGTTATATGGACTTTGAGATTGAATACTGTTCGTTATCTCCATATCCTTCTTTATGTTCCTGTAAATAATTTTTGTAAATAATGATTACTTAGTTTACATTTTTATAGCATTAGTCCACGAATTTTTTTGATAACGCCTCGTATTATAATTATATGTAGCGGAATTCGAATTAGAACTCCTGCATAAAAAGACAATGCTTTGGTACTCAGTTATATATCGGTGACGTTTTATCAACAATCAATACCCGGTAGAGTTTATTCGTGTTTCTTTGTTGAATCTGAACGTAGGGGGCGTTAACGACAGTCAATCTAATGTCTCGGAGGTGACTGAGCATTTAATTCCACTGTATATATATCCAATTGTAGTTAAAATATCCTTGGTTAATAAATCCTTGTAACTTGTAATACTCAGTTCACTAAAAAGTCAGTAAACAATGTACTGATTTATTTACATATATACTAGTACAATGAGGAGACAGAGTACAAAAGAAAGATGTTACATTTAGCATGCTAGCATATGTACTGTCTAAATCATAGTTAAGCACTCTCCTAATTCTTAAAATGTCACACTTATTACACAGGGTATAAACGAACCTTAGCTCTAATAGATGATTATCTGAAACATTAGCGCCATCCTATTAATTAATTAGCTTGATTTATCTTTATCAAATCCTCATCAAACTGTCATACTCTAGCTTGACCTTAGCTCAAAACTCCTATTGCTCCACTCATTGAAGACTTATTATTCTTGACCACAATAGACATTGCCTAACTTTTCATTACCCAACACGGCTTAAATAGGCTAAGCGATGCATCAGTATGTCACTTCTTTACTTTTGAGTCTAAAATTAGTACTCATCACTATGATGAAATTATATGGAGATAAAGAACAATATTTAAAGCTCAGAAGTCCAATTAACAGGAGCAGACACAGACCTCTTTCACTTCAGAGGTGGGATAAGGTGTCATGTAGGACCAAACATCCCCTGTTGATTAGTCACTAAGGCTGTTTGCGGACAAATCAGTTGATAATTCATTGTGCAAAAATGGCCCGATAGTTATTATGAAAAACTTCAGTCAGCATTTGACTTAAAATTGTATCGACTCTAAAATTATAAAATGGTGACTTAAAACTAGAATGTTGATAGTCTTGTTTCATCAATTTTTTGTCAATAACTTAGAAACTGTTCATTCCTAGTGCATGCTCTTGCGTACAAAATCAACTAATTAAAGATATAAACCCCGTATGCAGGTGATGAAGGTACGTTCAAAAAATAATGTCATTAGCTGGTTGACATACAACATAGAAATCATATGACACTAAGTTTGACTTTCTTTAATTAATGAATCTTTAATGAGTTGATAGCAGTTTATTTGACCACTTTACATCACATTGTTTCATTGTGAGAAGAAGGAAAACAATGGCTACTCGGGACACTGCATTTAAAATGAATAGTCAAGACTCAGTAAACTGAACTAGAATGAAATTAAACGCTTCATTTAAGCTCCTGTTAAACTTATTTAGAATCCCAAAGATATATTAACTGAAATGTGTGAAATTTACAACAACGAATGTCTGTTTTATACACACATGAGCAGGTGGATTTCAAGGAACAATGATATAATGGGCATCAAAATGGGTACCGTCCTTGGCGACAACGACTTACAACAACCAATGTATATTTGCGAAAGTTCGACACATTATCGCCGAGTATGTTTGATTGACTTTAAGACACATTGCAAATTTAATTGACATAATTTTAGGGTGGTTTACACTGTTCTAAAGAATCATTTAATAGTAAAAAAGTTTAATACTCAAAGGTCATCCTATATTCTGAAAAATGAGTGAAAACGACAGCGTGTAGGAATATCAAAACAATTATTTTTAAAAATTAAAAACTTTACTCATCAATGTTTGTCTGAAATTCAAACAGATAATAAAACTTGAATCCATTTTGTTTTAAAAAAATTTACAATTAAAGAAAAGAGCACAAAAACAATTTTATATGAAATATTAGTGGTTTTGTTGTTCAAATTCTTATTAGGTGAGTAATTTCAATTTCTGGAAGAGTCTAGAAAGAATTTTTTTGCAAAAAAAGTGAAAGGTTTATGTTTTAGCTTAATGTCCAAAGTCACAGGCCATGAAGAGTAAAGGAGTTCTGGGTTAAAAAGAAAGTTAATATTTTGTCACACCCACAATATTGGCCAGCACTTTCTACCTTTGATTTGTTTCATTTCCCAAACCTGAAAAAAACCACCTTTCAGAAAAAACAAAACAAGTACAGGAAATCATAGGATCTGTCATATTCCAGTATACGAAGAGTCATACTCAAAAATGTTTTCTAAAAACAATTAGAAATGGAATAAATATGTTACAGACATGTGTTTTAATTAAAAGAGAATGTTTTAGCTTAATCGTTTAGACTAAATCATAGAAAAGCGTTTTTTGTTTCTTTCCGAGCACCGATGACATTATTTATTGAACATCCCTCGTATACTATACAATTATTTCTTTTGATGAGGTCTACTCGTGATTATACTTTGATTTACTACTGTATATTTAAAACTTTGGAACTTTGATTTACTATGGTGAAAATTTTGGTTCTTTGATTAACTATAGTAGCAACTTTGGAACTTTGATTTACTATAATGAAAACTTTGTTACTTTGATGTATTATTTTGAAAACTTTGGAGGTTTGATTTACTTAAGTAGAAACGTTGGAATTTTGATTTACTGTAGTTTTGAAAACTTTCTTTGGAATTTTGATTTGAAAAATTTATTTACTAATGGTAAAAACTTTGGAACGAACTTTGATTTACAATGATGAAAATTTTGGAACTTTAATTAACTATAGTAAAACTTTTAACTTTGATTAAGTATACTATAAAACCCTTGAAATTATTTTTTTATTCCCATTTTGTACATTTTATGATTAAATCTTAAGGCTTCAGAGAATCTTTGGTTATGTACAAGAAATGAATTTTAATCTAAAGTTTGTCTCTTGCGCCGATAAATAGAGGATTTCTATATTGTGTGATTTGATACAATCACACAATTATATATCTTCTATTTATCTCAAACGACTTCCGTTTAAACAAACTTTGAGACTTCCACTGCGAAACTTCATGAATGATTGCTAATTCAAATTGATGACGTATAACTTGATGACGTTGGACCGTTGATGTTGAAATGTAGATCGTGTTCAAAATTTAGAATTTTTGCTATCTGCGTCTTTGAAAACATTTGGAGCTTTACATCAAACAAACGTCTGACTGAAAGTTGTAAGGACCATGGGATCGTGAAAATGAACTCTTTGGACGATGGCAGTACAAAACTTGTAAGGCAAGGCTAGGGGCCTACTTGAAGATTCATTGATGATCCATGGTAAGTTACAACTACACTACAAGGTAGGCATACATAGTATAATGCAAGAAAGCATTATTGAAGAAGTTAAAGGAATCTTAAAACAACAAATTAACCGCTAGGCTTTACTTTCTCCAAAAACGATTTAAAGGGGGGGGGGTCTTCAGGTCGCCAATACAGGTTCCTTGATAAAATAAGACACTTCATATACGAGTCTTTTTCTTGTTTTTGACAATATTTATCATTTATTTTATTAGGGCAATAATTTTCACAAATAAAAGTTTCAATAAAATAAAATCTTGAAGCGAGGTATCGTGTCAAAACCGGAAGTGCTGTTGATAAAGCATCTACCTGTGGATAAAGCATAAGTTTATCTAATGGGCTGTATCCCCAAAACGTATGAGATAAATAAGCAGTATTTATTCAAATCTATTTAATTTTAGGTAGATGAAACGTTAGTTTTATTTATGGAGAAAAAGAATATATTCTATAAAATATATGTCATTTACAATAAAATATTTGATTCATCAACATCAGTTAACATGTATTTTTTAAATGTAAATGTTGCATTTGAATTAACAACTTTGTGAATTTAAATAAAGATGTGCACAAAAAACAAGTCCCAATATCAACCCCTTTAAACAGTTGAACAAAAAAGTCACATACATAAGTTGTTAAAAAAATGGGAAAAAAAACCTTTATCACTTTGATTTACTATGGCAAAAATTAGAACTTTGATTTACTACATGTGTATAGTGAAAACTTTTGATCTTTGATTTACGATAATGATGAAAACTTTGGAACTACGCTTTACTATAGTAAAAACGATGGAAATTGAATTTACTATAGTGAAAACTTTACAACTTTGAACCACTATATTAAACACTTTGGAACTTTGATTAGCTATGATGAAAACCTTGGAACTAGAATTTACCATAGTAAAAACTATGAAACTTTGATTTACTATGGTTTTAACTTTGGAATTTGATTTACTATAGTAAAAAGTTGGAACATTGATTTACTGTAGTTTACTATAGTAATTTTTCTTTAGGGAACGATCAATTTTTTTTCAAAAGGTTGAGTGGAATAGTCTTGAAATATTCAACATTTTGTTGAGTAGTTAAAGAATCATTACCAAATGGCAATTAAATTTTCTATGATCGCAAAGGAAATTAATAAGCCGCAGAAGTGTTTTGATAAAAGTTTAAGATGTTTTGAACGTCTTAGACAAACACTTGAAAAAAATATTTTTTGAATGATTCTGTTAAAACGTTAGCTGACATAAGATATGGATATTTTTTCAATTTTCATTCTAAATGTATGCACTGGAGAAAACAAAATGTAGATTTAGTTAAATCAACTACTAGTATTCAAAACAATCTGATCTAATGATAAGGAATAAACACAGAAGCCTCTTACCGTCATATTCAAAATCAGTACAACTCTATGAAAGCTTTTTATGGTAAATTGTCCATATAATTCATTGTTTGAAAATACATCATTTGTAAGAACAATAGAATAAATTATGGTAATTGTTCATGTGGTACAATTTTGCGTACTTAAGTTATGTTTGGATTTAGAAACAAAAACCGAAATGAAAAAATAGATGTAAGGATTGCAGGAAAAATGTAAAAATCCAAACAGCTCCAATACTGTAAAAAATATATTACAAACTGACTTTGCAATCTTAAATTTTATGTCCAGTACCCATAAAATTGGTTTGAAAACCACACATATCTGATAGGAGGCAAAGACGGAGAGAATTAATACAATGATAAAATTCATTCTGTTTTGGACACGACTACAAACCGACGAATTTCTCAGTGTTTTCAACTTGAAATAATGTAATATGACTATAATGCAAATAGGTATAAGTCCTACTATTGCCCGAAGTGTGGCCAGAATTAGATAGGATTGACCCTTAGTCAGATTCAGGTCTAATTTAAGTAGAATCACAGTGCAAATAGATAGAATGAAACTAATAAACCAAATTATAATGGAATATCGAGTGACAAATGACACTGTAAGATAATGCTTACTCCTTAGAGGGTCAGATATCAATATATATCGTACAATGGATAAAAATATCACGTGACCAAGTGAGCAATAGTAGGTCGTATAAAATAGAAAATCGTACACATCACTTAAAGAGACTAAATTTTGATCAAAAGTAAATTCATCATGCAAATGAGTTTCAAGATTCGTGAAGCTGATGATATAGCAATGTATAATCATGAAAAAGTCAGGTAATGCTAAACATCCGATGGCTGCAAATGTTGGCGTACGATACTTTTTACTGCACACAATTTTCATAAATGCGACGAAATTTCCAGTAAGTCCAAAAGCTCCAATGATTAGAATGGACACGGCCAACCATTTGAGTGTGGGTGAATCGTAGAACTCCCATGTGAAGAAATTCAAAAGCTGGATTGATTCGTTGGAGTATGGATCTTGGTTAATTCTAACAATCTCGTCATGGGTTATTTCCGATACATTTAATGTTAAATTCCATACATTAAACATGTATTTCTCCTCCATCTTATCAGATATATTATATTCATAAAATATTAAAGGCTGTTTGTGTTATGACATTTCCGGATTTTGCGGGATTCCAGTTGCTAATATCGATGCCTTTAACAACATTTCTAATGTTCTTTTGCTTCAGAATGAAGTCTTTGCCTGAAACGGAAGAACGAATTTCTGAAAATAAAAAAATAAAATAAAAGATACCTTTTTAAGAAATTAAAAGAATTCTGCAAATCTAGCAATTAATTTCATACAAGTAGTATTTTAGCAAGTGTGCTCAAAATATTTCCCGATGTACTTAAGCAAATGATCTCCACATACCGGTATTTCATTCTTCAAATCATCCGGTTTTTACATAAAGAAACCGTTTGTAACAAACTTAAAATTACATGAATAGTTTTTCGAAGACCTAATATTAAAAAGCTCCTAGCCCAAATTGCCACATTTTTCTCTGATTATATATCTAAGAATATCTTAATTAAAACAGAGATTATCATTGTATTAAAAAATAAATTATATTCGGAATACACCATGTCATTCGGAGTTGTTAGAACGGTTTTACGTTTAAGAAATAAAGTATTCCTTGAAATGTGAATCTAAAAAGACAAAATATATTTTTATTTTTGTTTTTAAGCGCCCTGGGTCAATTTTACCAGATTTATTCATAATAATCTTGAAATCTAAATACTCACTTGTGAATTGTTATCCCTTTCTGGCCTTTGCGACAATGAACAATAATGTACTCATGCCTACAATACAATGACAGTATAATAAAGATTAGTTGCAAATAAATGGATCATTATTCATATACAGTGTATAATTTGGCAAGCATCCACGCATAAATAGCCAACAACGTATACTGAAAACCATGGGAATTAAGTAAATGTTTCAACTTGTTTTTTTTTTCAAAGGGGGATAACTCATATTTAATTTGTAAATGCAGAACAGTTGTATGTCCCCAGTTTTCCAAATTGAATGTTTAATACTTGTTGTTTGTAGATATGTTATTTGCTGTGTTGTATATAATAAACTAGTTTACCTATGCAATATTTTGTTTTGTGTTAGTCTTAGCAGTTCAAGATCAATTCCTCTCAGACAGCTATAATAATGAACAATTACTAGTCTATAAAGTAAATATATAAGTCAATTTTCCTTATATACACTGTAGCATATAAACTATTAAAATAAAGTTTTTCTAAGGAAAACTATATCAAGTAAACTAGTATGCAAACCCCAATACTCTGAAACACGCAAAACAGCTACCCGGTAGTTAAATACAAGACAAGGTTATCATGATACTGAAACTTTTAATACTAAAAAAAATTAAATTTGGCACTTGATACAATAAATTTTTAAATGGTCTTTACAAAGATGGAACTTATTTATTTTGTAGGGGTTTAAAACTGGATTTAGATTTATTACCGAATATAATATAACAATTTGAAAAGTATGGGCAAAGGAAATACATATCTCTCAGTTGATTCGATACACGAGAATATGCTCTACATAAGAACAATTTCTAAATCGAGGTAAATTATTGACAAACAAGTCGATGAAATAAGAAAATCAGCAAAAGCATTTAAAGCCATCATTCCTATGGTCGATATAATGACCTTGTCAGCAAAATTAATACAATATATCATTGAGTCAAATGCTGACTGACGGTTTTCATACTATCCCCGGTAATTGTTAGACATTTTTACAAACTGAATTGTTTACGGATTTTCCGATCATGACATGGAGCACTTGACGGGTGGGACCGGTCGGAAGGGGATGCTCACTCCTCCATGGCACCTGATCCCTCCTTTGATGTTTTGGAGGTCCGTGTTTGCTCTGCTCCTATTTTGTATTGTTCATTGAACTTTTTAGTTTGAAAACTGTTCGTTATCTTTAAATATTTATATTGATTGATTGATTGTATATTGTTTAACGTCCCTCTCGAGAATTTTTCACTCATATGGAGACGTCACCGTATGCCGGTGAAGGGCTTCAAATTTTGACCTTTACTCGGCACTCCGGGCCATTGAGCAGTGAGGGATCTTTATTGTGCCAACGCCTGCCGCTGACACGGGGCCTCGGTTTTTAAGGTCTCATCCGAAGGACCCGCAACTTTCACTTCAAAGTGCTGAGCGCATGGCGAAGGAACAGTTGCTACCAATTTTAACGACTAGGTCAGTCGCGGCCAAGATACTAACTTACGACCTCCCGATCACGAAGCGAGCGCTCTACCGACTGAGCTACCGTGAACGGTTTATATATTTATAAAGTAATGAAAAGAGAGATTAAACCAAGTAAGTCATTACGGACATGAGGTAACAATAAAAGTAATTTCAGTCCTGGTGGCTTTGAACTGTCCTTTGGCTTACATCATAGCTACACCGTAGTAAGGAAGCTGTTTGTTTCACAAGATGACAATTTTGTCAACACCATTTCACACAAAATAGCCTTCTGTTTACGTCAATCATAGACAATTGTCATTATTTTGGTTTATTATGTTTAAATTATTCTAGAACATAAAAGCTCAATAAGTTAATATCTACGAGGGTTGTCCGAAAAGTTCGTGGACGATGTCTATCTTCGTTATATTACTCACTGGAAATTTAAAACAAGCACATTGTAATATATAAAAATATTTGTTATGTTTATGTGTGAAGTTTCATTCCATTCGATTTAACACAAATAAATTTACTCCATTTTAAAATCAACATGTTTTGTACCCGCGGAGCACACAAAACGGCAATGTAACGTCAACACATAGCGTCGAGAATTCATAATAGATACTATACCTTTACATTTCACACAGAATATTCCAATGCCCATTCATTCAATTCTTTTTCTAATACTTGACATTTATTTTTTAAGAATTGATCTCAGTGTATAATTTCCTTTGTTAAGGTTTTAATTTCTTTTAGTCCTAACTCTGCTTTCACAGGATAATAAACTCTGAAGCGCCTTTGTCTTTCATTTACGTTTCAAATTTTAAAGTTTTTTTTTCAGATGTTTACAGTAAAACCGTTTCTTCACAGGTCATCCTCATCCGATACAGAGTCTCTGTCACTCAAATATTGCTTGTACTATTTGTACACACATGCACAACTCGCTTGTGACATATTTTCTTAATTCCTTCAACATTTTTAGAGTTTATTCAGGATTTTTTCTGAGAAAAACGCAAAATTGCTTCGGTATCTGCTGCTCCGTGACGTTCTAAAACGTCATCGTTTTTGTCGTCTTCAATAAGGACTACTTATCTTCTCACGTTTATTTCTTTTCAACAAAGCAAAATATAAAACCATTATTTGGTACAAGTATCGATGTAACAATTCTTCATTTGAATTTCTAGGTAGTTTTTCGTTTTCCCTCCATGTTACAGAGAACATGACTATCGACATTACTTATTGTATTGTCTGTAACTGACTAAAATTTGACCTGCTCCGCGATCCTATTTTTGCATTTTTAAAATCTGGATAACTTTTTAATCAATCATAATATTTTGTCAAAATTAATACATATCATTTGGATTTATTGTCAAAATATTTTTACCAAATTTGGATAACATATAACGTCAAATAAAAAAGATATGACAGTTGTCCACGAACTTTTCGAACAACCCTCGTAAATGGTAAATTTAAACTAATTCTCTTCGTAAACTCCATATTTACTTTGAATGCATAGTTTTGCAAATTATCATTCCATGTAGCAACCAAATCTTTAAAAAATCAAAACCAAAAACTTATACATTTTACTCAGCTCCTAATATGTAGGAATAAGAATAACGCATTTCATTGGCGGATCCAGAGGGGGGGTTCCGGGGGTTGGAACCCCCCCCCCCTCTTTATTTTTTGCCAAGTGGAGAAAGAGAGAGAAAGAAGGGGGATAAAACGTTTCCCGAGAATAAGCATTTGTACGTCTGACTTTAATATGTATTGAATAGATATATTCTCACACATTTAGTTTTTCCATTCACCTTTACTATTACTTTTTATGAGTGAATGGTAGAAAATATTCTACTTATTTTTATACATCTTATATATGATATGTAACATGCGAGGTTAAATTTGATATTAGATTCCCGCGATCTTAATTTGGCTGTGTTGGCTATATATACAAGAAGGTGCCTTTTTTTTTTTACTAAATCTTATGAAGAAACTAAAATTTAATTCATTAATTGTTTTATACCCATCCCAAAAAGGATTTTTAAATTCTTTAAGAAAATTCATTCTACTCTTCGGAAATGCTGCAAATCCATTCAATTATAAGGCTTCAGTAGCTTTTAAATGTATTGATTTTTTAGACGGACTGGGGGTACCTTTTCAAAGAAAAAAGGACGTAGAAAAAAGATATTATTTTCCACAATCTTATATTTTTCCATACATGTGTGTGTGTGTGTGTGTGTGTGAATCTGCCTGAGAGTGTGTAAGGGGGGAGGGGGTTAGAGGGACACAACCCTGGAACCCCCCCCCCCTTTCAAAAATTGCTGGATCCGCCCCTGCATTTGTTAAACTATTTAAGACAGAGCATTGGTTCTTAACTCGCAAACAGGTAAAAAATGGAAGCGAATGAACTTCTCTATATGGAATTCAGATTATATCAAATAATTTTGCAAATAAGAAAGAAAAAATGAGGGATTACATTATACACGTATAAACACCGAGAAAAAATAAACACTTAATGATCAAAATAAATTTAAGAATGTGTGTTTTTGTTAATTTGGTTTTAATGCTGTACAAAAATCTTATTAAATTGAAACTTTAAATACTCACTTGGCTGAACATTTAATCTCCCCGAGGTTTTTATTTTTAGACAGAATGAGAAATACTATACTCATTTAATTAGTTCTTATCTATGTAACTTGCACTTGCCACAATCTTCCTAAGTCCAGCCTCAGTCAAAAGAGATATTGGTTAGTCCATCAACAGATCTATAACAATAGTAAATTTAAGCAGAAGAGATACTTCAATAACGAATGACTTAATTTATATAAGGGGGATAATTAGAAAATTTATTCAGTCCGAGAGATATCCAATTGCCCTGCGGCGAAAGATTGTCAAATGAAATGGAGATAAAGCTCGCTTGAGATTTGTCCAGTTTATAATGTGACCATTATGTCAATAACCTATGAAATTAACATTAAAAATCATAACTGAAACTGCCCTTGTAGCTAATTAATACTGTAAAATCACTGATTTTGTGGGTATTTTATAATTTCCGTCATTTTAGAGGTATGGAAAGAATTTATGACTCTGTGATATGCATTAATACTTAACATTCTCAAACCATAAAAATCAAGTATCCACAAACCCAATGTTTTTCATAGTACATTGTGAAAAAATCACTGGGACATGGAAGTGCCTATCCTTCATTTACTATGAAAAGACAAAGAAAGAAAAAAACAGAAATCTATCTTCTCTAAAATGATGAAATAAAGAGAAATATTTTTCACACAACCTTTGTTCACCATTTATTCAGTTAGATGGGTTACACTTTATTATTTTTTTTTTTTACAAATTATCTTGTTCATTAAAGTGTTTAAAATTTGTAAATATTTAAATAATAAAGCACATTATATCAAAAGTACTCTGAAATTGATACTGTATTTAAAATTGACCAAAATCGTGTACGTGAAAAGAAGAAAACACTTGCTGTGGCCTTCAACTCGATATTTATATACATGTATTTTACTTGAATTCAAAAGACGTTAATGGTAATCTAACAACCAAGCTTTATGATAAACGTTTTGACCTTAACGTTTCAATCGTCAACTTCCCTTACTTATGCAGCAATAAACTTTCAACACCTGCATACGGGAATCATATCTCTCAGTTGATTCGATACGCATGTACAATTTCTAAAACGAGGTAAATTATTGACAAACAAGTTGATAAAACAAGAATATCAGCAGTACAGTTTTAAAGTCATCATTTCAGAAGTTCTATGGTCGCTACAATGATCTTGTCAGATCTTGTTCGAACAATTTGAATGAAAAAAAATTGAATATATCTTCATATTTTTAAAAATAAATAAAGATTTAGAACAGCAAAATGGGGTCACTGAGCAACGTCAAAATTGAGTAATTTACTCATTTTCACTTTATAGTTTCTATAGCCATACCTCTAATAAATGAATCTGAAACGAAATAAAATTGATATGTTTAAATCTAGTCTTGCTGTATGACTTACGATGATATTCGGTAATGTAATATATCGCTCCGTTTAAAAGATATCAGTTTCTAAAGTACATATATATTGATTAAAAAAGGCAAAAACATGACGATGGAGGACGTCATGGAGCAAAGAGTAGCAATAAAATTTTGCTTTGCATTCGGGAAACTTTAACAAACTTTACAAATCCTGTATAAACCAGAAAATGCATGAAAAATAAGCCGTGTATTTGTATAAAATGGAAAATACAATTTTTGAGTGGTAGCGAGTTTGAATCGGACGATGGATTGTATGCAAAGAAACAGGTTATCGTTTAAAATCTGTTCATTAAATGTGATGTGCGCTTCACTGTTGCGGAACTAATAGAGTTACGCAGTAAAGAATTTGAAAACACTGACATTCTAGTTCAAGATATTTGCGCAATTGTTAGCAAACTAGGTATCAAGTGTTATGGATACGTTATTATGAATGGAGAAAACGCTACAAACCGTGTATGAAATTAAAAAGTAGAGTAATTTTGAGAAACTTTAACGATGTTGTTTTGGATTTTATGTTGGTTAACCGTGTTCCGCGGTTAAAAAAAAACACGTTGCTTCAAAATCGGCTAACATGAGTTCTGTTTAATCAAATCAAATGGAATGAAACTTCACATTTCGACAAAATAAATGTTTTTATTTACGAAAATGTGTTATCTATAATTTTGTAATAATAATTTGACGATGAGGAACATTGTCTACGTATTTTTTGAATGACCCTCATACATTACAATGGGAGATTCAAAATACAGTACAATATGAAAGGGCAAGGGTATAACTGTAAAGCAACTTTTATTGGCGTCTATTCTTATTCGCGATTTGTCTCTCTGAAATCAATCTGCGACAATTGCTTTTTTTCGATTGAGGAGATGTTCTGCAAGAAAATGGATTTTCGCGAGTTAAAGTAGGTCTAAATAATAGAAATTGTTTTACAGTATCTTCCTATAAGGAACATTCCCTTAGAAAAAATATAAAGTGTCCTTCCCTGCTCTTGGGATAGCAATATAAACAATATCCAGAAGCTCAACTGGCTTGTACTTATAGCAAAGGAAGAGAAAAGTACTTCAGCGGTTGGGAATTGAAACTTTACAGCAGCAATAAATAGAAAAATGATCCTTGATTAGGTCTCTTAATGTTTTAGTGTAGTCTACTTGCATGCCACATTATATTATAATGAAATTTAAACGGTATTTGGATTAGCATTTTGAGAGTATTTATCAGGAATTTCTATTTTTAGTAACCAAGACAATAATGCTCATCCAAGTCAAAAACCGATATGCAGAATTGTGTATCTTAGTGTAGTCTACTTGTGTGCTACGTTATATTGAAATCAGACCAAAACTGTAGGACGAGTTGCATTTTGAAAGAATTTCAAAGAAATTTCTATTTTTAGTAACCACGGCAACACCGTTCGTCGAAATAAAAAAAAACTGATACACAGAATTATGTACCTTAGTGTAGGCTACTTGTGTGCCAAGTTATATTGAAATCAGACCAAAACTGTAGGAGGAGTAGCATTTTGAAAGAATTTCAAAGGAATTTCTATTTTTAGTAACAATGCTAACACCATTCATCGAAATCAAACGATACACAGAATTATGTATCTTGGTGTAGTCTACTTGTGTGCCAAGTTATACTGAAATCAGAATAAACATGTAGGAGATGCAGCATTTTGAAAGAATTTTACAGAAATTTCTATTTTTAGTAACCACGGCAACACCGTTCGTCGAAATCAAAAACTGGTTTACAGAATTATGTATCTTAGTGTAGTCTACTTGTGTGCCAAGTTACTGTAGACGTACTTTTTTCCACGGGGTCATAATTCCGCGGAATCTCAATTTCTGTTTAATCCGCGGGTAGAATATTACGCGGATTTCTCAGACTGTCCCATATGCCTTACATTTATATTAAGTACGCTTGGACAAATTTCCGCGGAAAATTTGTGTCCGCGTACATAGCGTAAATCAATACCACGCGGAAAAAGTACTTCTACAGTATATTGAAAACAGACCAAAACTGTAAGAGAAGTAGCATTTTGAAAGAATTTTACAGAAATTTCTATTTTTAGTAACCACAGTAACACCGTTCACCGAACTAAAAAAAAACTGATCAAAGAATTATGTACCTTAGTATTGTCTACTTGTGTGCCAAGTTATATTGAAATCAGACCAAATCTGTAGGAGTAGCATTTTGAAAGTTTTTCCAAGAAATTTCTATTTTTAGTAACCACGGCAACACCGTTCATCGAAATCAAAAATTGATACACAGGTGTCAAGTTATATTGAAATCAGACCAAAACTGTAGGAGGAGTCGCATTTTGAAAATTGTTTACAGACAGACGGACAGCTAGACAAACTGACAGACAGACAGACAGACGGACAGACGTAAGGTCGCATAAGCTCTTCTGGTCTATGACCAGTAAAGCTAAAAATATAATCATGCATTAGCAGCGCACATATACATTCTGATGTTACCGTATCTGTGATATTTAACTTTATTAAGTATAATTTTATGCACTTGACAAGTGTGTCGGTAAATTCGGAATATTTTTAATTTGATATGTGATTTGGATAGTTTAGCATATAAATTTTGTGAACACATTACTAAAGTCATCTAATGTTCACCATTCAGTCACAAATCACTGTCTGCGCTGTTCCAGTTGTTTCTGTAAAAGATGTAAAAATGAATGATATTAAACTAAATGGTATTCAGTTTTGGGTCAGCGTCAAAATGAAAAAAAAATTAGAAAGATTTATTTTTGAAAAAAGGGGGGAGGGTTCAGTAAATACTCACTATGACTGGTATTGATTTAGGGAAAATAAAATGCATTTTGAAACTTTTTACCTATTGAAACTAAAATTTTACCAATACGTACAGAATTTTCCCAAATTCCAATCTCCTTTGGAAAAATTCTGGCATTGACACAATTCAACAAAACTTAGTCTGTATAAAGTTTTTTAGTTTTACCAGGTGACCTTCCAAAAAATAGAGTTGTGTTATAACAAAAAAAATTATAACCTTGTTAAAATTCTGTATTCCAAGTGGGAAATATTTTTTTTAAAAAAACTATTTGAGTGACTCGTGAGATAAAAACTTCAAACTCCAAAGTTTAAAAAAATATCATTGGTAATCCGAAAGGATAAAAAATATTGTAGAAACCGATGAACAAAATATATGTTATACCTGCTCCGGTAAGAGGTTCAAGTATAATGGTATCATTTGGTAAACAGTTCCCACACCAACCAATCACGAGGCAGCTTACTGTTGTGGAGTCGGCGGATCGACTGAATTGTCGAATTTCACTGAACCAATCTGCACTACCGTTGACCCATCCGACCTTCACGAAAGATATGTAAGCTTGATCTTAATCAAAAATACATGTATTTAACTAAACATCTGAAATCAGATAATTGTTGATTGATTAATTGTATATACAGTTACTTGGCCAGTTCCGAATAAGAAACCGATTCGACGGTGCTACAAATATATTTTATTTCAAAATCTAAGTGTTTTGTCAAGGTAGTTCGATGACTTGTGGAATTAAATATTGTTTCATAAAAGTTCAGCCTTCCCTCAAAAATATTTATTTCGCAAACCATAGGTGTCCATTTTACCAGTTACGAATAAGCCGATTCCGGATACCCTAGAGATTCTTATTCAATTCAACCCTAAATTTAAAAATATACGTCCCAGACGTTATCCATTGGCATGCCTAAGAAAAGTTAAATTAATTGCTTACCAATAAATTATTTGTATTTCCAAAGGTTGTAGATGTACTGTGGGCACTGTTTTTAACATACCCCACGCCTCCTTTATGATTATTGAACAAAGTCCATGTTTTATTTGAGACAAAATAAATGTGTAAAATAATAGGTCACAATGTCACAATGCAATAAAGAATATGTGAAAGAATCATTAAATCTTATTCAGTGGTATAGGAGGAATTGCGGACAAGAGATGGATGTATATACCTTTCAATATCACAAAGAATGGCAGTATCTATGTTTTTCTCAGGGAGTCCAAATTATGTACCAGATCCAAAAATAGAATAGGTGCACTTTGGCACTGTTCAACAAAGATTCTGTGAAAGACTCATTAAACTCTTTGAAGCCTCATTAAATTTCATTCAGTGGTAGACAAGAAATGGATACCCCAGAGCATATCAGACGGACGGACGGACGGATGGATGGACAAACAACCCATTACTATATACCGCTTCTTCCTGTTTTTCAAGCAGGGGTAGAATAAGTCACGTTTACAATGAAGAAAACATCGAAGAGTGAATTTATAATAGTGTTTAAAATGGGTATTCGGAACTGGTAAAATAAGAGCACGAAAATATTTCGATATCTTCCAGTGTTCTAAATATTTATTTTTGACAAGTTTTTAGTATATGTTAGAGTACATATCAAACTTACTTTTGATACCTAGAACGTTGTTTTATGTGAAAAATTTATGCATCTACAGAGGTTTTTCTGCAGACTTACGCATCGCGGTGATTCAGATTTGTTGCATTGTAAAAGTATGTCGACTGTTTCAAGTACGATAACGAAACCAAACTGAGGGCAAAAAATCAAAACTTCACGTAATTCAAACACTCATGAATAAGCCTTCCTACCATAGAAATCAATTTATTTTTACACCGTTGAATTTATTAATTATCAGTCCTTAAATTACTAATTATTCGGAACTGGCCAAAATCCGGAACTGGCCAAACGACTGTAGTTTAACGTCCCTCTCAATAATTTTTCACTCATACGGAGACGCCAGAAAATTGTAACTGGATTTTTGTACACTGTCAAATTATGCAAAGATGACGCATACAGTTGTATTTACATTGTTTTACAGATAAAAATTATTTGCAAATGATAAAAATAAAATTGTTAAGATATTAATTACTTCTTGATAACATGATAAAACATAATAAGAAAACGTTATTTTCATTAGGTTTTATTGGTCTCTTTAAGCATACAATAGTTTTTTCTGTGAGCGATTTGAAAGCCAGGAGTTGATGCTTAGATAAATATTTCAATTTTAACAATTACAACATGTAATCATAGAACTGACACAAGTGCCTTTAATCTTAAAAAGGTTATATTTAGTTTTCATAAATATCATTTGCTACATACTCATAAATTCATTTGATACTTCATTTTGATTAGCGGATTTATATTGAAAGTTTTGAAATATATTTGATTTACTATGGAATTTCTCTTAATAAACATTAACATTAGAGCACAAATATCTTTCAAATTACGTTTTTATTATTTTGTTGGATAACATATTACCGATTTGACAATAGATAGTCCCGTGTCTTGTAAATCAATAAGAAATGTTCCTTCCAGCTGGCAAGGCCCCCAGCGTTTCTCCCACCAAGTTTCAGCAGTACAATCGCTGCTTGTACCGAATGGTACATTCTCAACTTTGCTACTGTTTCCAGTTGTCATTGCAAAAGTGAAATCTTCCTGCACAACGCTCATCGACTGAATATAAACTTTATAATAAGCTCATTTTCTTCAGCAATAAAATGTTAACCAAAAATTCAGAACAAACATAAGAACACATCCACCCACACAAACCCTCTCACTCACACCCTCACAGAGAGAGAGAGAGAGAGAGAGAGAGAGAGAGAGACAGAGAGAGACAGAGATAAATAGAGAGAGGGAGAGAAACAGATGTGATCATGAAATTCTAAAAAATACAAAATAATTCGTAAGTAGGATGATATCGCTGTAAATAAAGTCAGTACCTCAATATTTATTCGGACTTTTGAAAACTCGGTTCTCATTATAGGAAGAGAATTCCTAGTACAACGCGCGAAGGAAATCAGATGGGATGCATCATGGCCGATAAAGTAGTTCTGTCTTTGTAGAGTCACATATTCCTCCGCTGTTTCTGGTGAAGACATGTTATGACAATAGACCTTCACTGGGGATTTTCTGCCAAATCTTTTTGGATATAACCAGTATTCTCCATCATAAGAGGAAGGCCAGCATTCTTTTATCTCCGAACAGCTGGCTGGATCTACATTAAAACATTTTTTCCATACAGATTTCAACAACAAAATTTCATTACTACTTGTCTACTAGAAAGAAATCCTTGCCCCAAATCAGTGTTTTGTTATTAAAAAAATCATTTTCAGGCAGCTTGTTTTGCAATTTTTCGGAGTACACGTATTTTGCCATACTTCTCTCAGATTCCATCATATAAAACTCGGAGTCTGCAGCAATCTGTGTTATGTTAAGGGAAGATCTTCTCTGGAGCAGACATTCATAAGAATTACTGGAGAAGATAACCCCGATACAGGAAGTCCTTCCTAGGCATGCGTGTAAACACATTGTCAGGGACCCGGTCCAGATCTGAGCAGTAGTCTCCGTTGTTGTGGTGTTTATATTCATCTTCGTCATGTAGGCCCATCGTGTAGAAGAATCTGCCATACAAGGAGAAATCTTTAACGATGTAATTGTTTATTAACAGATCTAGTTTTTTTTATAATAATCTCATAAAAGAGGAATGTCTCATCAAAATGTTATTTGAGGGATCCTTAATGTACACCCCTTTGTTTATATGTAGATGATTTATCAAATAAAATTGTTGTTTGACATTCCTCTCGAAAGTTCGATATTTACCTCTAATTTTATTTTACATCTCACAAATTAATTACGATCACTTCCAATCTTATGTCAATACGATACATGCATATCCCGATGAGCGCAAAATAAAAGACACCACAGAGACTGACAAATCTGTTTCACATTTGGATATTTTTACTTACAAAAGGCGTTAATGGTAATCTTACAACTGAGATTTATGAGAAATGGCATGATTAAAACTTTTCAATCGTCAACTTCCTTACTTATGCAGCAGAATATCTTCATCATCTGCAAACGGTGTTGATATTTTTCAGCTGACTCGATGCGCAAGAGTATGCCCTACGTATGTACAATTTCTAAAACGGGGTACGTTATTGAAAAACAAGTAGCTGAAACAAGACTACCAGCAGTCTCGTTTTAAGTCATCATTTTCAGTTTTAAGGTCGATACAATGACCTTGTCAGCAAATACAATTTATCATTAAGTCAAATGCTGACTGACATTTTCATACTCATTGTTAGGCGATTGCTTACACACTAAATTGTCAACGGATTTTCTTGTTATTCCCCAATCATGACAAGGGGCAAACGGCGGGTATGATCGACCGGCAGGTGATGCTCACCCCTCCATGGCATCTGATCCCATCTCTGATGTTTTGGAGGTCCGTGTTTGCTCTACCCCAAATTTGTATTCTTTAAAGAACTTTTGAGGTTGAATACTGTTCTTTATCTCCACATATATATGGAAACAAAGGACAATATTCATTATGTGAAGAGGCGTCTCCAAATGAGTGAAAAATTCTCGAGAGGGACGTTAAACAACATACAATGAATCAATCATTATGTGAAGATAAAGAACAGTTTTTATCCGTAAACTATATACCTGAACTATTCATGGAAATGCTAGTACATGTATATACCAAAGTACACCTTCGTCAGTATGGCTGAATGTTGAATTGAGGTCGTATACCTCTCACGCAGAAGTTTAAAAGATATAGATTAGATTCTGTTTAATATAAGCATTAAAAAGTCGCTAAAAGGAACACAATTAAATCAACAGATTTTTGGAAACCCTGGTTTCCAAGGACAACATAGTAGTTGTCAAGGAGGACCTCCAGCATCCTATTAATACCAATGTGTGTAGAAGTAGAGTGATTTTTACTCAAAAAAATAAATTATAACTTCCGAGACTGTATGAAGTTTTGTGTGGAAAAGTCATGAGTATTAATGTTTGTAACTTTTTTCTAATAAAAGGTTTTTTAATTTTCTAAAAGATCCTTGAAGTTTTTTGAGAAGTTACATTTTAACTTCATAACGTCTAGAAAATGTTGAAGCAGACTTAGCAGAGTAGCTTCCCATTTACAAATGTTAATATTTTATATTTTTTAATGAAGACAAGGTAGAGCAGTTGCTGAACACAACAATATACAAGTACTATTATTAAATTTTTGTTTATAAAGATTAATATTATTTTGATTTGCTCATTTCAATTTTTGTAGTTTTTTTAATGTGTTTTTGAAACACAGATGCCCCCCGTATGACAGCTTTTGGCGAAGGTTCAAGTTTCTCAAAATAAATTATCGCAAATTAAGGTCAAGAGATAGAGTGAAACATATGGAGATAACTAACTGTATTCAAGATTGAAAGTCCATAAACAATACAAAATAGGAGCAGAGCAAACACAGACCTCCAAAATATTGGAGGTGGGATCAGGTTCCATGGAGGAGCGCGTATCCCCTGCCGAGCGGTCACATCCGCTGTGTGCTCCTTGTCATGATCGGGAAATAACGGGAAAATGCAATGAAAAATTGTATTTGCTGACAAGGTCATTGTATCGACCATGGAACATACGAAATCATGATTTTAAACGAAACTGTTGATATCCTTGTTTCATCAACTTATTTGACAATAATTTACTTCCTTTTAGAATTGCTCTTGCGTATCGAATCAACTGAGATATATAAACTCCATATGCAGGCAATGAAGGTATATTGCTGCATAAGTAAGAGAAGTTGACGATAGAAAAGTTAAAGTCATCACGTTTATCATAGAGCTTGGTTGTTATATACTATTAACGTCTTTTTCATGCAAGTAAAATAGCCAAATATGAAACAGATGTGTCAGACTCTGTGGTATCTTTTATCTCAAGCTCACCAGGGTATATTGTATCGACATAAGAATGAAAATTGCCATTGTTAATTGACAATACGTTGTCGATATATCTAAATGTCAAGTTGAAGGCCACGGCAAATGTTTTCTTCTTTTCACCCATCAGATTTTGCACAAATTCTGCTTCATGTGAATATTAAAATAGGTTTGCTAATAACAGGGCGCAATTGGTACCCATGGGAATTCTGATAGATTGTTGGAAGACCTTGTCTCCAAAAAAAAAACATAGATATTGTCAATCAGAAACTGAAACATCTTTTTTATGTCAAGATAAGGTAAGTAAATTTATGAGTTCCGTTTTTATTAAAAAAAAAAAAAAAAAGCAGCTGTCAATGATGTCGAAAAGCCTGGATTTAAATTTATCTTGGGAAATTGTTAATGATAACCCCCCCCCCAAAAAAAAATTGACTTATCTCTATGAATATATCTGTAAAATGTGAGACCTCTGGCACTATTTGACACTATTTTTTAAAAGTTACGGCCATGGATAACCTTTTTCGAAAGTAATTCGAACTTCAAGGTCAGAAGGACAAAACTTTTGGAATCCAAATGAAGACCTTGTCACAAGGAATCTGTAAAATATGACAGCCTTAGGACTAAATGTTCAAAAGGTATGTCCATGCAGATTTTTTAGTGGGTTAAACTCAAAGTTCAAGGTCACATGGTCAAATATATGTATATATGAAAAGTTCTTATCACAATGAAGTATAAAAGTCCTGGCATCCTTTATTCAAAAGTTGTGCCTAGGTTTGACAAATTCTTGTAAAAGTGGCTCAAGCTCCAAGGTAAAGGTCAAGAGGTCATATATGTTGGTACCCAAAGAAAGGCCTTGTCACACGGGATGCACATGTGAAATATGAAAGCTATAGCTTTACCCAATCAAAAGTTTTTTTTGGACAAACAGATGAGCAGCTATACAAACAGACAGACGGATGGACGGGACAAAAACTGTATAGTCCCGAATCTTTGATTACGGGGCATAAAAAAGTATTGGTAACAATTTACAAATTACAATAAAATGACAATTATTGATAGTTTTGATATAACACCAAAAGATAAAATACATATCCAAGCATTTTATAGGAACGTGTCATCTGACCTTAAGCGTCAAAATACATGTAACGTATAAAAGTATTTTTATGCCCCCGTAATCGAAGATTCGGGGTACATGTATATAGATTTTGCCCTGTCCGTCCATCTGACTCTCTGTCTTTTTGTCTGTTTGTGCGCAAAACTTGAACCTAGTCCTTAACTTTTAGTTGTGTGGAGCCTCATTTCACAAGACCCTTTTTTGGTACCAAACAGATTTGACCCCCTGACCTTGACCTTGGAGTTTGACCCACTTTTACAGAAAATTTCCGAACTTTAATTATAGCCATAACATTCGAATAACTGGTGCTAGGGTGTTCATTTTTTACAATTGTTTCACTGTGACAAAACGTTTCATTGGGTACTAAAATACAATGTATTTGACTTTTTGACCTTGTCCTTAGAGTTTAGCCCACTTTATAAAATGTTAACCTTAATTATAACTTTTGAACCGTTAGTACAAGGGCTTTCATATTTCACAGGTACATTCCTTGTAACAAGATCAACCTTGGGATACCAACAATTTTGGCCTTGACCTTTGAGGTTGATCCACTACAAAAAAAATTAAAATTGATCATAATTTTTAACCGTTGGTACCAGGGTTTTGATATTTTACAGGAGTATTTCTTGTGAAAAGACCTTCCTTGGGATACCAACAATTGTGACCTATTGACCTTGACCTTGGAGTTTAACTTGCATTTGAGATATTTCAATCCTTGCCACAAGCTGCCATACTGGGACATCAGTGCTTCACTAACACATCTTGTTATGATATGATTTTGATATTTTTAATGCATAGCTAAAACGAAATTTAATTCATTAATTCTACATAGTTACCTGTAAAAGTACCCATCTTAATGCCTCTAGTAATGACCACAATTTCTAGTGAAGCCAAGGCTAACAGTAATTTTATGAACCATTTTTCCATGTCCTGTAAAAGATTTCCTATGAAATGGTATGTAAGTGTTTAGTACGAGTATATGAAATATGGAGATAACAAGCAATAATCAAGCTAAAATGTCCATTGGAATAATAGAATTTGGGAGCAGAGCAAACTCGGTCTTCTAAAAACATCATGGGTGGGATCAGGTGCCATAGAGAATCAAGCATTCCCTATCCATCGCTCTGTTGCGCACTTCTTGTCATGATCAGGTATGTGAAAGATTCTAGAATTAAACCCTTTTCTCTAGCCAAAATTACTAGTAAATTTGTACTTGTTTTAAAAGAAAATATCCAGTATAGGTTTGTTTTTTTTTTTTTTTTTTTTTTTTTAATTTTTTGTCTCAAAACAGATATAATTTCGGTTATATTCCAATAAATTTTAAATTAAATATGATCATATAAGACTGCAGTCACTTATGCTATGGCAAGCATCGAAACGTTGAATATTGATTAATCACTTTCCAAAGAAGCAAACATTTTTACAATATCAGAATCAATTTAAATTATTTTTTGCA